AAGAAATGAGTTCTCCCTGAAGATTTCCAGAAGGAACGCCGTCCTGCTGACACTAAGATTTGGGCCCAGTGAGACCCATCTTGGACTTCTGACCTCTAGAACTGTAAGATAGGAAGTTTGTGCTGTTCCAAGCCACTGAGTTGTTGGTAAGTTGTTACAGGAGCAACAGGAAGCTAATGTGACCGACATTCTTTGACTTGACTCCAAATGAGGGGCTGCGGGTCTGGGTCGTGCCCAAGCTCAGTTGGGGGTTGGGTGAGAAAGGAAGGTGAGGTCACATGTGTTTATCAGTAAGTCACTGGGAGGTGAAGGAGCCTCAGAATGGAGAAATGGCAACATGGCCTTTCCAGTTTTATGGGGAATGAAACCCTGGTGAGCCCATTTTTAAAGTTCGAGGGCAGGAGTAAGGAAGATGATATAACTATCCCACAAGATGGGTCTTCACCTGGGCTTTTGTTCAAATGACCTGGGGGCTGGCGGGTGTCATCAGTACCTATCTTGGGCAAACCCTGCGCTAAGGACCCTGGAGAAGGTCCAAGGATGGGAGGTCTAACCCCCAGATACTCGGATTAGGGTGGAGACAAGAGCAGCACACCGGCAAGCCGGGTTTGGGAACGCGAGCAACATGGCAAAACCGGACCTGTGGGGTCCGAGGGTGGTGGGCACACTTGTAACTGAATCAACAAATACTTACTGAACGTCTAGTATGTGCTGCTTTCCTCTTTATGGGCTTGCCAAAAGCAAAAGTAACGACTCCAACCGAGACTCGCTGGTGCATAATTCTAGCTAACGATTTTGAGTGCCTTAGATATGCTAGGTGCTTTTTAACAAGATGACCACCTTCATTCGTTCAGAGGCTACCTTACTTTCTGGAACCATTTCACAGACAACAGCATAGAGTCACAGAGAGGTGGTTAACTTGCCTGAGGGCTCACAGCTAGCAGGGGAGAGGATCCTCAGTGACTCAGTCTGGCTCTTGAGTCTTGCTTGTAGTTATTACACCACTGCCACCTTCCTCCCTGTTCCCACAGGAATGCTCTCGGCTACATGGGCGAGGATGCTCTCCCTGGCGATGCCACAGCTCCGTTATTCCTGTTGCCTCCTGAAGATCCTTTCCCCTGCCCTTGACCGCCTTCCTCCTGGTCACTTCCAGCCTGTGACTCAGTCACCGCCCCCACAGTGGCTCACAGGCTAGGGCGCTTCTAAGGAAGAGAAAGCTCCAGAATGGGTGAACCGTGAGCCACCACGTGGCTATGTCCTGGGGAGTTTGTTAGAAGGGCATATTCCTGCTCCGCAAAAAAGCAGGGGCCTGCATCTGTATTAAACTCCTCCAATGCCCCTATAAACTAACATTTGAGAACACCATTTTTTTCACAGGGCTTTTATTTTTTCACAGGGCATCCCTGCAATATTGCCTTGGGCTGGGGAAGAAATGAGTTCTCCCTGAAGATTTCCAGAAGGAACGCCGTCCTGCTGACACTAAGATTTGGGCCCAGTGAGACCCGTCTTGGACTTCTGACCTCTAGAACTGTAAGATAGGAAGTTTGTGCTGTTCCAAGCCACTGAGTTGTTGGTAAGTTGTTACAGGAGCAACAGGAAGCTAATGTGACCGACATTCTTTGACTTGACTCCAAATGAGGGGCTGCGGGTCTGGGTCGTGCCCAAGCACACCCCCCAGAGGCACCCTGTCCTCCCCTAATTGGTTCAGCACCTCCGATGTCCCGGTGCCAGCCATTTCCTCCGGCTGCATCCACGCCGGGGGATTTTGCAGTGTGTGCAGTGCTTGATCATACGCACTTTCCCTTCTCCCAGCGCTTCCTCCCAGCTCTCCCCAGCCCTGCCCCACAGCCTCTGGAGGCAGGTGCCAGATTTAGGAACTAAAAATACAACATTGCCCAGGACAGGCTTATGCTAAAGCATTATTCATTGCTTATCTGAAATTCAAAGTTAAGCGGCCTCTTGTATTTTATCTGGCAACCTTACACCTGGAAGGAGCCCAAGACAACACCTGTGGGGTTAGGTCTTGGGGTCGTGGGCTCTGCTCTGGGGGGATTTTTCAGCCAGCCTGAATGAAGCTCCCTCAGCTGCCATCCATGCTCTCACCTACCCGTTTTGCTTATTTGCCCCCTAACTGGCTGTTTTCCTGTTGCAGCGGCTGCTTCAGTGCTTGAGGGACGAAATTAGAGATGGAGAGGGAAGGACAGAGCAGTTGAGGGAGAAGACATCTGGGAGCAGGTGTGAGGACTGCTCAGGCTCTCAGGGGTGCTGGCTGGTTCTGTGGAAGGGGCGTTTCTGAGGCTCCATCTTCTCTGGCCAGCTTGGGCTGGGGTGGGCCCCGGAAATGGGAGTGGCCCTCAGGGAGGGGAGGTTCCTCACTTTGCTGGGGCCACCTTATCAATGCCACAGACTGTGGGCTTAAGCAACCCAAATCTACTTTCCCACAATTCTGGAGGCTGGAAGTCCTAGATCAAGGTGCCAGCAGGGTTAGTTTCCTCTGAGTCCTCTCTGTGGCTCCCAGATGGCCACCATTTACTGCCTCTTCACACGGTCGTCTCTTTGTGCTCCTGCATCCCTGGTCTTTCTCTGTGTGTCCAATTTCCTCTTCTTATCAGGACACCAGTCATATTGCATTAGGACCTCCCCTAATGGTCTCACTTTAACTCAATCATCTCTTGAAAGGCCCGAATTCCACATACAGTCACATTCTGAGATACTGGGGGTTAGGATTTCAACATACAAAGTTGCAGGGGACACAATTCAGGCCATAACAGGAGGCATGTTGGACAGACTGTCCCAGGGTCTCCTCATAGCTAAATGCTGTGGTCCATGGGGTGGGATTCATGCATTCCTCGCCACAGGGCTTCCACCAGACCACAGGGCTTCTTCTTCAGGTGTTAAATGTGAGCTGTATAAACCAGCAACTGAGGGAAGACCTGGCTGTACAAAACCTGGGAAAGGCACTCCGGTTGTTGCTGATGGGCTGGGCTGATCTCATAAAAAGCCCAGAGTGATGGACCTTCTGTCAACTTCCTTCCAGACTGAGGAGTCCAAAGAGTTGGAGGTTGGGATAGATCTTGGGTGAGAGGTAGTTCATCCTGCTGGGGGAGACTGGAAACTCTGCAATCACAGCCCTTTAATGGAGGGGCAGAACCCAATCAGAGCATTTATTTTTGAGCTGGAAGACTAGAAAACTCCAGTAATCCCAGCTAGCTAGAGGAAGACTATGCTCACTGCCTGGACAGGCCAGTCTGGGAGAGACTGACTCTCAGGGTGGGGCAGGGAGTTGTTCTGGTTGTAGGAGAGACAGCAACGCCAAAGCTACGGCTCGCACGCGCTGGGCCAGTGCACCCCTGGCAGGAAACCACACGGGGAGTCTGGTGGGTGGGGCTGCTGGGCCTAAACTATGCATGAAGGCACTTGTACTTGAGAGGCTGATGGAAAGTGGTCTGCTCACTCAGCAAAGCCAAGGGCACAGCAAGTCTGGAAATTAAGCCCTGAACTTGGGAGGCCAAGCTTAACTGATGTCACTGGATAGTCCTAATGGAAGGCAGGCTGATTTTGCAAGTCCTAGGATTACATAGGATTAGTCTTGGAATGGAGCTAAATTACTGGTTTTCAAACCATGTGCTGTGGAACCCCAGGGGTTCCACTGAGAATCTAAGAAAGTGTCTCTGAGCCCCCATTCCTTCAACTAGAACTATTTTTCCTTTCCCATTTGAGTTTCTATACAGAATTGCTTGGGGAAAAAGAGGTTTCTCTGTGTTAAATTTGAAACCACAAATCTAGTTAAGATACTTTTATTTTATAGGTGAGGGATTCATTCATCAAACATGCTTTGAAAACCTTCTCATATAATGCTCCGTGCTGGGTTGTGGGGACATTTGTTATGGAAGCACAATGCCACAAGAACTGTCCAATAAATCCAGAAACACTGGGCAGACTTCTTGTATTTCATTAGTGTCTTAGTCCCCTTAGACTGCTGTAAAAAAAATATCATCGATTCGGTGGCTTAAACAAATAATGAACATTTATTTCTCACAGTCTGGATACTGATAGGTCCAAGATAAGAGTTCAGCAGATTTGAGGTCTGGCAAGAACCCACTCCCTGGTTCATAGATGGCTTCTTGCTGTGTTTTCACATGACAGAAGGCAGCTATCTGAGGTCTCTTTTATAAGGGTACTGACACCTTTTATCAGAGCTCTGCACTCATGACCTGATCACCTCCCAGAGACCTCCACCTCCAAATACCATCACACTGGTGGTTAAATGTCAACTTATGAATTTTGAGGGAACACCATCATTCTGTCTATAACAATTGGCAAGAACCAATGTATTAAAGATGGGTTTTACTGGCTTGCTAGAACCAATTGTTAAATTTTCAGGAAACTTGGTAATAAATACCCCAAATGCATCACTTCCTAATTATTTTACTACATTTAGTTGCTATCTATATTTTTGATGTTTTTTGTGTTTATCATATTGGCATGGTGGAAATGCTACAAAATGGTGTGGGAATGCACAGCTCTTCTCTGCATTCTATCATGTCCCACTGGTAACTTGAAATTGGCCATGGTGGGAACATGAGGAAACTTACTACAAATTAAGCCTTTTTTTTTTTTAATTAGAAAGCATGCTGTTAAACATCACTAGGACACAAATTTACCCTAACCCACAACTAACAAAAGAGAATGAGATTGTGCAGCACAGGGGAGCTGGAGTTTTTCCCCTGCTCACAATACAAGAGTACAGAATTCAAGCAATGAGGATTTGGGTGGGGCGGGGTGGGATGAGCTTTTGGTAGACAACAAGCAGTATTCAAAGACAGTGTGTTAAGAGAGGTCAGACAAGGGAGCAATCCTTTCCAATAGAGGATTTCGGAGGTTCCGAAAGGATGTGAGCTAAGCCTTGAAGAATGAGCTGGTTTTATCAGGAGGAGCCAATGAGAAAAAGGAGCACATTCTAAACTGAGGGAGGCGTGAGTACAGGGTGCTTGGGGAGCAGCAAGTGTCCTGAAAGGAAGAGGAAATTGACTAATAAGGAAGGACGGCGAAAGGAAGGTCGGCCCCCAGACTGTTGTCCCCTCCACGTTAAGGAAGTGGGACTTGCAGGCAGTGAGGTGAGTAAGGCGATCTGGAGGGGAGAGGGAATTGGGGGTGGGAGGCCCGTTGAACATCTACTGTGACTTTCTGTGTGGTAAGCAACAGAGGAAATTCTGATTACGGTGTTTTCAATAAAAACTGAAAATACAAGCCAGACCTGCTGTCCTAATAACTGAAATTGATGTCTTAGATATCACTTATGATGGCTATCATTCATTAAGCACATACTGTCTGCCAGACACTCTTCACATGGAGCACATTTATTGAAAGATATGGAGCAGTCAGGAAATCAGTTTATTTTTTTCCTCCTCCTGTCTTAAATGTCTGTCTGTTAGATATCACCACCCACACCCCCACCATGACAGACCCATAGCTTTCCCCATCTCTTTCCTCTCTTCTTGGGAACAACTTAATCTTCAAGTATTTAGCACAACAGAAATCAAACATATCTCACCTCCAGTTTGAAGCTTCTCTCCTTTTCTCTAAGTCAGTCAGGCCTCAGGCAAGGCATCTACAGTGGAAAAGAAGCTGGTGGTCTTTTTCTTTGTCCCTCTCTCTCTTCCTCGCTCCATCTCCTCCTCTCAAGGCTGGCAGGAGGGGTGCATGGTACAGGGGCAAAGGTCATGTTGTTTGTGGTTCTTCTTCAGCCCTTGTCATGGCAGAGGTACAGAGGCTGGCTCTCTCTTGCGGGTAGTTTTCATTGTAGGTTTTCAGGGTCTCTCTCTGCCATGCACACGTACTATGTGGGGGCCTTCCATGCTGCCTGGTTTCATCCTGCAGCTGATGCATGCTCTCATCAGCTCCTGTTCTGTTGGCACAGCTCACATGACCTCTGCCTGCCCCAGAATGGCCAGGCCTCTGTGTTGTCTGCTGGGCCCAGGGACCTCTGCCCAATTCCCTCTCTGCTGTGGACTGGATGTTTGTATCTCCTCAAAATCCACATGTTGAAGCTCTGAGCCCCAATGCAATGGTATCTGGGGGTGAAGCCTTTAAAGGTCCTCAGGGCATGAGGGTGGAGCCCCCGTGAGTGGGATTAGTGCCCTTAGATGAAAAGACATGAGAGAGATGGTCTCCCTCTTCCATTTGAGGACATCCTTCAAGCAAGAAGGCAGCCTTCTGCAAGCCTCTCATGAGGAACCAAATCAGCCAGCACTTTGATCTTAGGCTTCAGAGCCCAGAACTGTAAGGCATAAATTTCAGTTGTTTAACTACCCAGCCTATGATGTTAATGTTATAGCAGCTCAAATGGACTGATACTTTCTATCTTTGGAAATCAGGCTCCAGGCAGGCTCTTTCTGACCACACCGCTGGGTACGAGAAACAAATCCTGAATCCAGGAGACCCACGTTCCCTTCGAACTATTCCCCTAAATTGAGGTCCCATGGAAGGAAGAATGAGATACCAGTTTTTCCTTCTGGCAAAAAGTCCACCCTTTCCAAACATCCTTGTTTTTTGACATTACTCTTGCTTGGTTTCATGTGAGAGAAGACGTAAATGGCTTAGAATTCCCTGTCTACTCAGCCGACAACCATCTTCAAAAAATTTTGGTCTCTTTCTCTCTTATATTTCTAGGGATAGGAGAAAGGTGAAGAGACAACTATTATAGAATTGGCTTCATGATCTTTTAGCAAATCACACGACTGCATCTCTTTCCTCTTTCGGAATGTTGCACAACTTGTCACTCCTGTCCACAGCCACAGTCTGAGTCTGGAAAAAACCCCTTTAGTATCCTTGTAAGTTTAATGTAACTAATATCCTTTAATATTATTTAATGTAATTTAATTCTCATAAAAACCCTATGAGGTTTCTACACACCTATGAGGTACTACAGAGGAAGATTCTAAGACTTGCAGGCTGAGCAATTGCCTGCTATCCTGCAGCTGGCGAGTGTTGGGTCTGGGATATGAATTCGAGTCTTCCCAACCCTGAAGTCCATGTTCTCCACCACCTTCTAATACTGCCTTTTTAAAGACGAGTCAGATTTTGAACATGAGAATCTGAGAGAGTGAGGGTGCAATTAGCAGGCTGAGAGAATCAGAACTGGTTTGGAATATGACAAATAGCTCCATTTAGATATGAGGAGTTTAGGCTTGCTGGGGACATCTGGGCATCCTGGAGATGCCCTTCAGCTAACAATAATCTGCACTTTTCAGCAGAAAAGGGGGACTTTATGAAAAGGTACCAGGTGAAGGGGGAAACTTTACACTGCAGGGTGAGGGATAAGATGGTCTGTAGTTCTCTTTTTCCGAGGATCCTGAGAAAATAGATCTACTTTAATAATGCTGATAATTTGCCAGAGAGGTGAAAGCTTATTTACTGATATTATCCCTTGGCTTCCCTGTGAGGTGTCAAAGTGTATTACCTCCCTTCTAAAAATAAATTCAGAGATAGAAGCATCCTGGGCACAAGTGCAGAAGCCAGCTTTCAAACCCTCCACATCCCGGGAGCTCAGAGAAAGCAAGCCAGATGCCAGTGGGAGAGGGAGGAAACTGGACAGAGCTGGGACTTCTCTTCTTTGGTATTGTTACAGCACAAGGACTTGGAACTTAAAGCATTGTGAGAACCCAGATCACTAACTATTGACTACTTAGACTACTGAATGTCACCTGACCCCCATAGCAGCTTGGCGGCATCAGAGTGGGGCCTGATCCTGACTCTTTCACCCAGAAGGTCCCTGACCTTGGGACATATTACCACCTGCTCTCTGAGTGTCTATTTCTTCAACTGTGAAGTGGAAAATAATGCCTCACACCCATTTTGAGAGTTAAATAAGAAACCGTATGTTGCAGACATTCACTCATCACTTCTCTGAGTGTTTATTGTCACCTGCCATCACCAGTGACTTGCACAATGCATAAAGCAGGCTTTAATAACCGTTGGCACCCCTTTCACCCAGGCCAGATTTGCTCTGGGAGTGTATTTTTATGCCTGCACTTCAATGGGAATGGAGCTGGTGTTCCAGGGACTGGCCTCCCAGACATTGGTCCTGGCAGCTGTAACCTAGGAGGGACTGAGAGCCTGCAGAGTCCTCTCTGGGAGCTTTTCTTTCTTGCCCTGGCAGCCTTCTGTCCGAGGTGTCTCTGAGGCCAAGCCTCCCTCAGAGGTGGTTCCATGCTTGGGTGCCAGGGAGCTCCTCTGATTGCAAAGTCAGTGGGGTGCCAACAAAACTAAGGGAGGGTGTGGAATGATAAAAGGACTTAGCAAATTTGGACCCACCAAGTCAGTATCAGAGATGAAGCGGCAACCCCTCATTTTGCACATGAAGGAACTGAGCCTTAGGAGGTGTGACTTACCTGGAGCCACACAGCAAGTTAGCAACAGGATAAGATTGGGACACTGATTTCTGGACTGGTGGTGCAGAGTATATCCTCTTTACTCACAGGGGAGGTGTTTATGGGCCGTGAAATTGAAGCCAGATTGGCTGGACTTCATGCACAGTGTGGGGGATTGGAAACAGAGTGCAGCTGCCCAGCCAGCAACTCCCTTTATCAAGCACTACTGCGCACTCTATGCAAGATGCCTGTAGTTAGGATGGCCTGCCCTCCCCAAGTGGCCCAGAGAGGACTGGCCTTGAAGAACAACTCCATTCAAATGTATTCATTTATTTTCTCATTCATTCATTCATTCATTCCCGAATCTCTTAATGAGCACCTGTCATGTGCTGTGAACAATGCTGAGTACTGGATAATTGACACTTGTCTGACTTTTCTTCCTGGACAAGAAGGAGGACCTGAAATCCCTCCCAGGCTGGGCTGCTAAGAGCGATGGTAAGCTGTGGAGTTGCAGGGCTGTCCCTAGGCTGTGGGAGCTAGTTTAGAAAACCTGGAATCTATGTTCTACTTAAGCATGGCCAGGAAGCCAGTGGGGCCAGACACATTCAAATCAAGAAAGCAGAGGGAGGGAGCACCTCTGTTGGAGCTGAGATGTACCCAGTGGCCTACTACAGGAGAGCAACAGGTGCAAGGGAACAGCTAAGGGAGCCAGGTGCACTTTGAATAATATTTATCAATCCTAATGAGTGAGTTGGGTACTTTAGCATGGATTAGGAATAGTTTTTTCCAAATCTCCTTAAAGGATTTGAGGGCAGGGAGGAGCAAACCTGAGAGATTTTATAGACCAATAGACTAGTCCCCTCCCCACTTTTTAAATTTTGTTAAAAATACATATAACATTAAATTTACCATTTTAACCATTTTAAAGTGCACAGTTCAGTAGTGTTAAGTATATTTACATTATTGTGCAACAGATCTCCAGAACTTTCTCATCTGGAAAAATCAAAACTCTATACTTGCTAAACACTAGTTCTCTGTCCCCCAGCCCCTTGGTAATCACCTTTCACTTTCTGTTTCTGTGACTTTTGACTACTTCAGATGCTTCATGTGAGTAGAATATATAGCATTTGTCCTTTTCCCTGGCCCTTTCTAAAAATCTGTGTCTTAGCACTGTTCACAGGCATGTCACTTTCCCATCTGTATCATCTCTGATCACGTGCCCGTGCACACACACCCACCCCCCACCCCCCCCACACACACACATGCAGGAGGGGAGCGAAAGAGGAGGGAGAAATGGCAGCAAACGCTCACACAGCCAAATCTTGGGTGGGGAGACTTGTAGAGTTGGAAAAAGCCCTCTAGGAATTCTGATACACCCCAAGAATGTGCTGCACCCTTGTTGAGAACCACTACTCTGCATAGAAAGAGAATTCCCAAAGGCATAGGAGGCAAAGCCAAAGTCCATCACAACATTTATTGAGCATTCACAGCGTTCAAAGCACAGGGCAAAACACTGGCAGGAAATACAGTGGAAGCTCAACAGCTGTTGTCACTCCCCTCATGATTATGTTTTAACTGAACCGAGGGGATACATGTGAAGCACACAGACCATGTGTAACCAACACATAGATACATGCACTGAACATTCACCACTACAAGTTTATTATGAGCAATTACTGCAGAGAGGCACTGGGACACAAGGATTAAGTAAAGATCAAAGACACATTCCAGTGCTCAGACTGCAGTTTACCACTCTGGTGATGAGTGGAAGTTAGTTACCAGAAGACATTAGAAAATACCAGAAACTTGGTGAATCCGTTTTCTTAATGATACTGGTCACTTTACTTCAAGTTAGGAATCCACTTTAGCCTGAGATAAACCAGGCTATTCAACCAAATGCTAGAATAGCTTTATATCTAAAATATATATTTTTTAAAGTAAAACCAGCTTGTGGATAACACCATTCCCACAGGTCAGGTACAGATTCTGAAACCTAATAGCATTTTTCTTATTTTTTAAAAAAGCTTCCATTAAGTGAACAACCTTCCGATAAATTTAGAAAACAGAGGCATTTTATTATTGTTTATCTGGGAAAACTTATTTATTTTTTTCTGTGCTTTTAAAATTACTTTAAAGTAGGGTTGCCAGAAAAAAATTACAGGAGCATTTTAGTGCATGGGACATACTCATACTAAAAAAATTATTTGTTCTTTATTTGAAATTGAAATTTAACTGGACATCCTGTATTTTTATTTGCTGAAACTGGCAACCTTATCTTAAGGTTAACACACCTTGGGATGGTCCAGAGGCTCCCAGGCATGGTGGAGCTAATTGTTCCTCATTTAGATATTCATACTGGCAGAAGGGAAAGTTTATTCTCTGGCAGGAAAATTGAAGATTTTGTAAGATTTTCTCAAATATTGGAGACATTTTCTTTCCTTACACTCTTTATCATAATCATTTAATGATACAGGTTTTAGTCAGTTGAATTTTTACCTTGAAATCTTTGAGATGACTGGTTACAAATACTAACATTATATTGCAGTCTGAAGAATAGCAAAACTAACCTGTCTGGAAAAGTACCCTGTAGAAAATGGTCATGTTCTCAGTAATTTCTTGTCCATTAGCACAGTTTTCCCCCTAAAAACCAATGCTGACACGTACATCTTGTTAAACTATACAATGTCCCGTCCCCTATACATGATCGCTTTTTGCCACCTGTCCTCCCCTTTCTCCCTTCCACATTGTGGGTTGTTTTTTTTAATTTTAAATATTTGAAATCACTGTCCCTGTGCACCATGAAGAGTGTCAGAATGTCAGGCTAGGGTCAGTGGATGGTCACAGCTCCATGAAATCAAGAAAACGGAAAGCTCACTGTCAGATGCTTAGACGCTGTGAACATTTTTCCTTTCTTCTTTCTTTTCTTCTCTCTCTCCTTTCTTCCCTCCCTCTCTTTTTCCCTTCCATCTTCTTTCTTCTTCTTTCTCTTCCTTCCTTCTTTTTCTTTTCCTCCTATGCTAGCATGTAAACGTATTTCTGTCAAATATGTCTGTGTTAATTTATTTTAGCAGACAGGACTAAAAAAAAAGTGCTGGTAGATTGTATTGATACATTCTATTCTAGAAATGCACTTCCTGGTATCTAAAATGCATAGCTCATGTTTTAATTTAAATTGAGATTTGTGATTTAGAGGAGAGGGATTTCAACACTAACTTTGCAAAGAAAAGAAGTTCACATGAAACTCCAATGGTAGGGAAAGAATGTAAAATGGTAACACTTTGATTTTCAACAAGCATTCACTATTCCTTTTTCTTTTTTTAAACACAGCAAAGAGTATACATATATATAAAGTATATACTTATATGTTCAGTTTGCACATATACATAAAATTAATATAATAAATTACAAAAACATAGATGATATTTAAAGGCATAGACAACTTTGGCATTCAAAAGCTACTTGTTAATCTAATCTAAGTGTCCCAGTTTTTATTCTGGGCCTGACTACCCATGTTTCCACCCTTGGCCAGGTTCACACAGATTACAACTTCCCTTTGTGTCTTGCTGTCTTTCTGCAAAAGAGGAAGTACCAGATTAGCAGGAGAAATTAAATTGAGGCAAAGAAGCCATGGGGTTTAATATCACCAGATAAAGGTGAAGCTAAGCAATATATATCATTAAAGTAGAAAAAAATATTTCTATGCACCTCTGGCTGTTAACATTCATTACAGTAAGATAGCATTCCAGTCGGCTCTATGCCACATACTCTCTTTGTTTTAGAAATATAAGTTCAAATTCCATCTTTTGGACAATGTTCCTTATGCTATCATGTCTCTGAATGTCCTCGACTGACCTCAAGAAGTCATGCTGTTCTCATCTTGTAGCAAATGGCCAGGAGGGGATTTGCTCCATGGTCCCTTCTGTGGTCTCAATGAGGGCGTGGCTATATCATGTACAGGAAAGTCTGGTAGACTCCCCAGGGGCAAAGCAGCCTCCACAATGCTGCATCAGCAGATGAATCAGAGCATAGAAACGTGTTACTTTGGGGAGTGAGAGCCCAACTTGGATGTGCTAGGACCTTCCAAAGCTAGGGTAGGGTCCATATCTCCATCCTGAGCATGAGCTTGGCAATTGTGTTTGCAACATGAGCCCTGTTGGACCCCACTTACTGGCTTGCTGAGGTTTTGCTGATGGTGATTGACTTTGAAAATTGCCTACCTTGAATTGCCTAGAAACCAAGTCAGTGCCCCACCCTAGTCTTGTTCTCCTGGGGCCCAGATGAGGGATGGAAGGCAGACAAGGAATAGCTCCCACTGGAAGTGGAGCCTTCCTTCTCCCTCACTTCCTGCCTCCTCCTGCTTCCCCTTCCTGTCCTCCTTTCCCTCTCCCTCACTCCCCTCCTTCCTTCTGCACGGGAGGGTCCAGGCTTTTCTGCAAAAGAGGAAGTACCAGATTAGCAGGAGAAATTAAATTGAGGCAAAGAAGCCATGGGGTTTAATATCACCAGATAAAGGTGAAGCTAAGCAATATATATCATTAAAGTAGAAAAAAATATTTCTATGCACCTCTGGCTGTTTACATTCATTACAGTAAGATAGCATTCCAGTCGGCTCTATGCCACATACTCTCTTTGTTTTAGAAATATAAGTTCAAATTCCATCTTTTGGACAATGTTCCTTATGCTATCATGTCTCTGAATGTCCTCGACTGACCTCAAGAAGTCATGCTGTTCTCATCTTGTAGCAAATGGCCAGGAGGGGATTTGCTCCATGGTCCCTTCTGTGGTCTCAATGAGGGCGTGGCTATATCATGTACAGGAAAGTCTGGTAGACTCCCCAGGGGCAAAGCAGCCTCCACAATGCTGCATCAGCAGATGAATCAGAGCATAGAAACGTGTTACTTTGGGGAGTGAGAGCCCAACTTGGATGTGCTAGGACCTTCCAAAGCTAGGGTAGGGTCCATATCTCCATCCTGAGCATGAGCTTGGCAATTGTGTTTGCAACATGAGCCCTGTTGGACCCCACTTACTGGCTTGCTGAGGTTTTGCTGATGGTGATTGACTTTGAAAATTGCCTACCTTGAATTGCCTAGAAACCAAGTCAGTGCCCCACCCTAGTCTTGTTCTCCTGGGGCCCAGATGAGGGATGGAAGGCAGACAAGGAATAGCTCCCACTGGAAGTGGAGCCTTCCTTCTCCCTCACTTCCTGCCTCCTCCTGCTTCCCCTTCCTGTCCTCCTTTCCCTCTCCCTCACTCCCCTCCTTCCTTCTGCACGGGAGGGTCCAGGCTACTCACGGGGGTGGGGCAGAGGCGCACATGTGGCTGTAGGAGTACCTGGACAGGGATGCCCCCGTGGTCCTGCCGTCCTCCTCCTCCCCCACCTCCCCTCTAGCCCCTGGGGCACCAGGGGTGGGGCAGCAGGGGAAGGTGGCCATGAAGCCGAGGCGGAACCGTTTGTTCATGAAACAGTAGATGATGGGGTTGACGCAGGAGGAGGTGTAGGAGAGCAGGAGGATGAAGGAAATGGGGGTCCCCGAGAGGCGGCGCTCGGCAGAGGCCGTGTCAAAGGCCCGCCAGGCGTTGGCGCTGAAGATGGGCATCCAGCACAGGAAGAAGAGCAGCACGATGACCATGAGCATGCGGATCACCCGCTTCTTGGCCAGCAGGTTGGCCGCGGAGCTGCTGCTCCGGATGCGGTTGGCCCTGGAGCTGCTGGTGGCGGACAGCTGCTGAAGCTCCAGCTTCCTTTGGTGCTTGGCCTTCTGCAGGTAACACCCGTCACTGTCTTCGTACCGACCGCTGCCGCCGGTGCTCGGTTTCCTTTCTGGGTGAGCAAGTGACATCGCTTATTGCAGCTGGGTCACACCAGACAGAAGGCATGGGACCCCTGTCCCCTCCGTCAAGGGGCCAAACCAAGCCTGAACTGAAGAACTGGAAAGGAAACCTTGCGCCTGCCCTGACATGGGTAAGTAGTGATCTTTACCAACTAACTAGTCCTTTCCTTCCAATGAAAAGCTACTTACAACTAATAAAGTAATGCATAATATATGATATACATAATGTATAATTATAAGAGAATATTTTATGCATTTAGATTATAGGGATAAACAACTACTAAGAATGACTAGTCACACTCTTCTCCCTCCTTTCCCTAGCTCTTCAGGGGAAGGTTCCTGCTCGCCTGGTTAGTCTATGGACTGCTTTCACTCTGAGGAATCTGGATCATCGGAAAAAAATCAACAAAAGCCAAAAAAGCTAAAGAGACACGTAAGTTATATAATGCTGAAGATCAGAGAGAAGGGGTGGCCTGAGAAGGGGAAAAAGGTATATGTTAACAAAGGTGTTGGGGTAAATTTTAGTGGATAGGGATTAAAATGAATGGGAAGGCCTCAAATTTTGTGGCAACAGCAATGTGAAAAAGAAAAGGAGGAGAAAGGATGGGAGACTGGAATTTTAATTGCTTTGGTTGCTGAAGGGGATCCATGTGGATGCATCAGTACAGAAAGCCTGGGACACGTGGGCCCTTGGCTTATAATTGGGTTATATGCGTTATCTCATTTTGTTCTGCACAGCACCCTTTTGAGATGAAGCATTTCTCCATTTTACAGATGAGGAAATAGAGACACTAGGTCTCATGGCTAAGCCTTATGACACAGAATCTCCTAAGAACACTTCTGAAAATCTCCAGTAAACACCCTGCTTGTATCTGTTTTAGTTACAGGAAATAAGCTTTTGTGATCTTTTAACATAAACATACAGCTAAAAGATAGTTACCTCTCGCAGACCTCTTCTGGCTAGCATCAAATTTTATTCCTTGGTAAAGTTCCAAAGAGATCAATCCATATGCCACCATCATCACAATTCCAGGAATAAGAAAGAGGATGAGCAACAGGAATGTGTGCCTAATAAAATGAAAAGAAATCCAATTACCAGCAACTCCAGTATTTCAAACTCAGATGGGATGGAATACTGGGTTCCTCATCATTTTAATTGGTCTGAGCAAACACATTAATTATGAGTATTTAATATCCCTGTAAAGTCCATGTCCAGAGGTTCAAACATTAGAAGTTGTTTACTTCTCTCCTTTTTTTTCCAGATAAAGTCTCTCATGAAGAATTAGTTAAATTGGACAAGTGCAATATAATTTTGTGCCTGAAACAAGTGTATGTATAAAACCAATGAGAGCTTAAAAAAATGAGTATGTAAATTATATGTCAATAAAGTTGGTACCAAAAAAATAATAATAATTACAAAGCTTACGTTCATTGAAGACTTATAAAGTGTACTATGCACCATGCTAAGTATTTACATATATTTATGTATTATTTGTTATTTTATATATCATTTTATACTTATGCATCATTTTATATATATATCTATATAAAGTTACATTTAACTCCCATAATAATCTTTGAGGTAGGTACTCTCTTCATAATACCTATTTTATAGATGAGGAAACTGAGACTTAAAGACATTAAGTAACTTGTTCAAAGTCATACAGCTGTGGAATGGGTAGGATTTGAACCCAAGCAATATGATTTTAGAACCTATGTTCTTAATCATCACATACCATTTGTTGACTTTATAACAACAGAATCATCAAATGCATAGGTAGGAAAGAAGAAAAACTTCCTTGGTTTTACAAAATATGGAATTCTGGCTGTTTCTGACCAATTGGCACAGTGGCATGCTCATTGAAGTGCCTGGCAGGGCAAAGCTATGCTTTCTCTAAACATGTTTGATTCCTGAAGTATCTCAGCCTTCTCTGTCAGGAGTCTGGTCCCTAAATCACTTTTGCAGCCTGGCATGTGTAAGGTTACTTGATTAGGCCATAAAATTGTCAGAGGCTCACAGTGGCTGGGTCATTTCTCATTTCAGTTGGACATGTTTTGATAAGATTACTTTTCAAGTCTTGCAAATGTCCCTCTCACTTGCACATAATTCTTTTTTGTGTGTGTTACTTGGCCAAAATGAAAAAAGGAAGGCCAAGAAAGCAGAGATTATCTGCAGAGCCATTTTTGAATGTCTAGCTCCCTGCTTCTAAAACAGGAATCATGTAAACACAATAGTCTGTGTTTCTGTGGCTTTGTAAAGATACTTAATGACGTTTTCATACACATACTCTCATTTGAATCTTACAGGCACCTAAAGAGGTAGATAAAAAAATATCTCTATATTATACCCTTGTCTGGATAAAGCACCTGAACCTAAGAGGCTACTTGAACTTGCCATCAGACTAGGAAGCAAAGAACCAGGTATTAGAATCTTGCCTGTTTATTTCTAGCAAAGTACTCTGTGCAAATACCATAGCTGCTGCTCACATGGGATCTGGGACTCATCCTCTGCTCTGTCTTCAGTTCTTAGAAAATCATAGCCCTCCAAGTCATCGAGCTGAAACCTGCACTAAACAACAGAAGCACATTGCGGTGTGCGCGAGTACAGGGCTCTGTCTCTGGTAGGTTTGTGACCCTGAGCAATGTACTTAATCTCTCCAGGTCTGTTTCCTCACGTGTAAAATGGGGACAATAATGGAGCCTATCCTCTACGGTTTCAAGAGGATTAGTTGAATTCACATTTGTTTGGTATTTCAAACAGTACTCTTAAGTTTTTGCTATCATTATTATCCTAGAAAGAAATTAGTGATCCTCCTCAAAGTCTCCAGGCAGAGGATCCCCTAGCCACTCTGGATACTGCATTCCAGTTTTTAATATAAACTGCAAAATTACATCAAGTTCTAATAAACACATAAACACTGCACAACCTTACCAGGACTGCTGCATAACATCATTTGGCAGTAGAAAGCGGCACATATTCGCGGTCTGGTTGTTATTCTTGGTAAAAGGCACCAGGTTGCTATAAATTGGGTATGGCGTCATGATGGTAAAGGAGAGACACCAGGTAGTGGCGATCACCTTCAAAGCATGTGATTTTGTCTGCCAGACTCGGGACTGCAAGGGTTTGCAAATTGCCCCATATCTTTCTAGAGATATGGCTACCAGATTAAAGGTGGATACACTCACAGAGGTGCCTAGGAAAGGAACAAAGAAGTCGGTTATGTCAGCTCTGAAACCCAAAGTTTATTTGCATATAATATGCATAAGCATATCTGGTCCACACAGGTGTGATATCCAAGGACAACGCTCAGAAGGTAAAGAAATATTCTGTATGTATATGTTTAAACAATGATTTATTTATTCCCAGCTTTGTTCCAAAAGGGATTTAAGGCAGGTCAAGAAATGTATTTGCAAATACATCTTACTGCCAATTTTTAGATAAGTTTATTGAACTTTTGAGTACAACCTAATTCCTTCTTAGGCTAAAATCGCTCATTAATGAGTAACCAAGGGGCTGAAATATGCTTCTATCCCACAGAGGAGGTTTTGGAGTAACCACAGGAAAGCTCTAATTTTGAGCATGGTCTGAATAGTTAAGTTGACCTTTTAATTCAGATTCTCAAGGACTGTGGCCCCAAAAGGAGATGGGGTCTAGGCTGGGGACATTCAAACTCCTTCTGAAAATTTCTAGTACAGACTATTTTTAGAGTGAAACATTACAAATTTCAAAATGTAGTTTATTGAAAAAACACATAGTAAAAAAGGATGAATGGGAATGGCACCCTAAGGAGTTGATGACCTTACATTAGACAGTACAGCCCCAAATGCCTGAGAGTCAGGTCAGTAATCCACTGTAATTATAAACCCGCCATCAGGCAAGACTCTTTTTTTCTTCTACATATTAGGAGTTTAAAGAGCATTAACTGTTATGAATAGTATTAAGGAGAACACAAAATTAAGGGAAGAACTGATATCACTGGAATTAGAAATCCAACAAAACCATGTTGGCATTGCAAACATTTTCAGAATGATCTTGCTTTTCATTTTAGCTATTTTTAAAAACAGTTTTTTTTGTTGAGGTGAAATTCACATAGCATAAAATTAACCATTTTAAAGAGAACAATTCTGTGACATTTAGCACATTCATAGTGCTATGCAACTACACAGGCACCGTTTTAAATCCCCTTTCATACACCCTGGCTAAGATTCTTGACTATATTATTATAAGGTATGTATGGATGGATCTTGAAGGCCTAAAGCACTATGAAATGTTCGTTATTATTTTTGCTTCATTGTTTAACAAGGACCCTTTTCATTTGCAAGTCCATGTTTATTCTCAGAGGACTTGGACCTGGATTGACACTTTCTTGGGGTTTTTGTCTGAGGCACACAGATCAGTACTTCATCATCGTTTTGTCAGAGCTGGATCCCTCTTCCTCAACTGGAAGAAATAAAGGCTTTTAAAGCTTTCCAGGCCCTGAAGACTGCCCTAGCCCCGACTCAGCTCTGCATATTTTGCAAGGCTTAGATCAGAACAAAACACAACTTCCCCCTCATTTCCCACCACTCCTCTTCCCCCAAAACTAGAGATGGACAAGGCAGTTTGGCAGACAGAGGGGACCAAGAGGCCTGTCTCTGTTTAGCTTCAGGAAAGCCGCAGCAGTTGACAAACAGGCCATGTATTCACTCACTGTGGCGGCAGCTGCTGAGCTGGGTTCATATCCTATCTCTGTGGCTTACCACCTGTGTAGGTTTTTGGACACTTTACTAACCTCTCTGTGCCTCTGTTCCTTCCGTGGTGAGATGGGGAAGAATAACTGTAGATAATTCATAGGATGGTTGGGAGATAAGGTTATAGAAAGAAGTAAAAGCAAGTAGTACGTTTGGTGCATAGAAATTGTTTAAAAATATTAACTCTTGTGATTTTTGTCATCACCACCATTTTGATTGGCAAAGGCAGAGAGGGGCTTATCTCAGCCCAGGAATGGGAGTGGGGGGCCTGGAAGGTGGAGCGGGCTTGGCTTGCATTAGCTGCCTTTTTCAAGGCAAGAGTACAAATGCTTGCCCAGCTGGACTGAGTGTGATGAACTCAGGTCACCTTTACGAATGGCTGCAGAAGCCCACACCTGGAAATCGCTGCCTGCCGGCCCCTCCACGGCAGGTTGCTTCTGGGAGACTCCAGTCATTAGAGGCATGAGCTAGTGACCCACAGGCCCCAGAAGCAAATTCAGCTCTTCACTCAGCAGCGGACACCTCTCTCCGTGTCTGCCTGAGATGGTCCCAGCTCTCTGGGGAACAGACTGGGAAGTGAACTCTGAGGAGGGAGGTTACAGCTGTAATGAAACTGATGTTCACATAGGCCCTGTTCCCTAGGAAAGCAAGAGCAGCCACAGGAAGAACCCTCCACCACCCTGGCCACAGCCAAAAGCTTGGATAGGGCTCAGAACACCATTAACAACTTCCAAGGAGGATCAGGGCAAATCTGCCATGTGGCAGATTCCCTCTTTCTTCCTAACAGAAGCAAAACCAACCTCATCTGTCGTTTCTTGTCAACTCCTTCCACTCTCTGAAACTGACCTCTGAAACGTCCCGTTAGGGACTCACTGCCAGGGACAGATGAGGACTGGCCTGCTGTCCAGCTGGTGCCTGCATCTTTGCTACACTCAGCAGGGCTCCTCCACCGAGGCGGTCAGGGGTGGAGAGGGTCTGGAGCTGAGTGGGGTCTGCGGCAAGCTCTGGAAAGAAAGAATCCCCAGCGGCAACTCACCCATGAAGTAGGTGGTGGTCTTGCACACAGCGCTCCCGAAGATGAAGTCCTTGAGCAGGTTGGGGATGAGGTTGAACGGCATGCAGAAGAGGCAGAGCATGAGGTCGCTGGCGGCCAGGGAGAGCAGGAAGATGTTGGTGACTGTTCTCATCCTCTTGTTCCGAATCAGCACCGTAATGACCAGTGTGTTCCCCAGCACACTGAGCAGGAATATCAAGGAATACAAAAGAATCTGCACCGCCGGCTGCCACTCTGCAAAGATGAACAGAGAGACAGAGGTTATGAGAGCAGAATTTTAAAACCTAAGCTCACGAAGCAGGCCAGCAGTTGTTTCCCGCTGATTTTTTTTTTTTTTTTTTTTTTTTGCTGAAGTGTCCACCATTGAACCCAAGTATCCCTGTACTAGCAGTAGTTGGCAGAAAGGAACTGAGGCGAGCACAGGGTGATTCAGTAGCTTCTAAAAAGGTCACTGGGAAACCACTTTTTTTTTTTAAGAACAAAGCTTCTCCAGTGAATAGTGATTGCTTTCTTTCCTAGCTGCTAAGTGCTATTTTGCTGTAATCACTTCTTCACGCCAGATTTCCCCCAAGAAAAGGTAACAACTAGACTGTGACAGCACCTTTTCTGTAATGCTCCATAAGTTCAAGCTTCAACACTTTCTTTCTTGCAACATGTCAGCTTCTCCTCCCACTGCCTTTGTCCCCCAAGTCTATACATTAATCCCAGGGGACAGAAAGAATATATAACTCGGTTCTGCTTTTTGATCTCTTATCCAAACTTCTGAACACATGACTTTATCCAGGCTTGTCTCGTGAGGACATTGTTATATTTTCTCTATCAGCCTTGCCTTTGCTGATTTCTCCATCAACTTACTAGTTTTCTGAATTAAAATAGCAGTCTGGGACACCTACCTTTGGAAGGATGGGGCTGATCCAAGCAGAAAAGCGTCTCGTTCTCGATCCCTAGTTCGCAGGGAGGAGTGATGCTTCCATTCACAAGAAGGCTGTCGACCACATCCATCCTTGCCTGCAGCTTTCCACCAAGTGCTGGCGAGCTGGCGTACTGCTCACTCTCGGCTCATGCCTCTAATGACTGGAGAGTCTCCCAGAAGCAACCTGCCGTGGCGGGGCCGGCAGGCAGCGATTTCCAGGTGTGGGCTTCTGCAGCCATTTGTAAGGGTGACCTGAGTTCAGCACACTCAGTCCAACTGGGCAAGCATTTGTACTCTTGCCTTGAAAAAGGCAGCTAATGCAAGCCAAGCCCGCTCCACCTTCCAGGCACCCCCTCCCATTCCTGGGCCAGCCTTAGGGCCCTGAGTATAGACAGCCTGACTCAAGTTAACCCTTCCCAGAGTGTCGCTGCTTTTACACACACATGGACACATGCATGGGCACACAGGCATAGGCACAAACACACACGCTTCCCCAGTGCATTTCCTCTCTGTTTAGGAACCTGTCATCAACCCAGACATATGCAGAATAAAGCCCAAACTGGCTGTGTGAGACAGGAACAATTAATATGGTAACAGATACGATAATGCAGACCATCAGGACTAAAGGACACGGAGGGACTGCATTTCTACCTCCTTATATAAAAGCAATTAGTGCCTTTTTAGCTTTGGAACCATGCCCAGCAATGTGTGTAGATATAACTGCCGGCTGGTTGTTAAGTTGTTAAACCAACCACAGTGTTATTCTTGTGGTCTCTGCCCTTGTTAAAGGAGAGGGTACTTTTGAATATAGGTTCCTGGATCCTTACTACAAAAATATTAGTAAGATTTTTCCATTCATTCATTTATTCATTTGTCCATTCATTCCGCATGAATTCACTGAGATTCAACCATTTGCAGGCACTTTTCTAGACACATAAGCCAATAGTGAGCAGGATCTTCTCTTCTAGTGTTAAGCATCATAAAAGAGGTAAAGCATGAAGATGTGATGAAGAGGAATACTTTGGGGGTGCTAATTTAGATGGAGTGGTCAGGGAAGGCCCCCTGGAGGAGAGGACTGTGGTCTGAGACCTGGATGACAAAGAGCAGGAAGCCTTATGAAGATCTGGGAAAAGCTTCTTCCAGGCAGGAGGCACAGTAATTTTGGAAGAGGTTACAGCAAATGCAAAGGTCCTGCAGTAGGAATGAGCTTGGCTTGCTTCAGGAACCAGATAGAAGTGGCAGGGAGTGAGGGGCAAATGGTGAGAGTGAGGTTAGTGAGGGGGACTAGCCCAGGGATTTGGGTTTTTCTGTGAAGCTCTGTGGTGCTTGAAAACCTCTCAATGCCCATCCTACAGATGGCCTTCTTGGTTCAGCCCTTTGGGAAAGCAGATGACAGCAGTGGGACCTGGGTTTCTGACATGTTTGGCTGGGCTAAGACTTGGCCTATTTGCTAGAAACTTCTGGGGCCACTAGTGTACTGACAACCCTCTCAATTGACAGAACTACATACTGTATCTTTGCTGAATACAACTGAGAAACTGGCATTTTTACTCAGAATGTGGGGCTGTGAAGACAGAGTGGTACCTCTTCTCTGAAACAATGAACATTTCATGTTTGAGGCACTCAGTCATGGAAAAGTGGAAAGAGCATTGAAGAAGCTATTGGAGAGAGTTTGGCATCAGACAGACCGAGGCTCAAATCCTGGCTTTGCTGGTTACCTGCTGGGAAATACTGGGCAAGTGTCTTAATCTCTCTGATTGATTTCCTTCTCCTGTCAAATGGGAATCAAAATGGCTTCATATAGATTTGCTATGAAGAGTGGCGGATTGCCTCAGGACAGTGCCGGACACAGAGCTGCATTCACCAACTCACAGATCACAGTACCAATAGCCATCTACTAATTATTATTTTTCTTTTACACATGAGGGAACTGAGGCTCAGAGTGGCAACATGATTTGCTAGTGAGAACCAGCAGTGGATACTCCCAGTGGACCCCACAAGGCCCCCATCAGACCTCTTCAGGCGCATGGACCTCTCTTCATTGTCCTGGTACCGTGTAGCCGTTTGGGGCGTGCACCTTGTCTCTCTGTCTCCTTCCTGCTCCATGTCCCGTTGGCTACATCTTCCTAGTCTGCAGACTGATACAGACCCTGTCCACTAGGAGGGGCCGCAGTGCAGGACTGTCCTGATTTGGGGAGGGATAAACAATCAGGTTTTGAGCCCTGGGCACAGCTGAATTTCATTCCACTGCTGTTTCCTGCAACTGGCTGCGGGTAGACAGCACCATCCGTAGAGGCTGCCTCCTCCTGAGGTTCGTCAGGCCCATCGGCAGCTGCTTTAGCAGTTGGGGGAGTGGCCTGTGCAGGTCCAGGGGCAGAAGAGCAGAGGGCTGGGTGCTGGCCTGCCCTAAACTGAAATGGGACCCAATTTAGGGCAAATTCCTTCTTTCCTTCCCTCTGTCCTCCCTCCCTCCCTTCCTTTCTATTCTGTCCATCAGTTGGCAAGAAGTGTGGGTGGAGTGTCGGAGTGTGGGTGCTAGTGTTCTGTAAACTCACAAGGAATGAGTGTGGAAGGTTTTAGTGCTGTGCTTTATAAACTTTAGTGAATATCTGAGCCATCAGAGTTAGTGGTTGAAAATGGGGATTTCTAAGCGTCTCCTCCTAGGGATTCTGATCCTTGGGGCCCACGTCTGGGAATTGCATTTTTATCCAGCATCCCTGGTGATTCAGAGGCCAGTGATCTTAGGATCCCCTTTCAGGAAGCCGGTAAGAATGTAAGCACAGGCCACAGACTACAGGCCTTCACCACTGGCCAGCTAGGGTACATGGACAAATCTTTTAACCCTTGTGAGTCTCAACTTGCTCATCTCTAAGATGGGGATAATATAACCCCACCCACAAACAAAGCAATACGTAGAAAGCACTTAGAACAATGACTGGAACATAGTGCTGGACACTGGTTGTTGTTATTAGTGGGTGAGATTAATTCTAGGGACACTGTTTATCCCCATTATCATGCCAGGTGAAAGGTTTGTGTCTCCAGTACCCTCGCCTGGTGTCTGGCTTAAAGTATGTGCTTGGGAAATGTGAATGAATAAAGAGTGAAAAATTAGGAGACTCAATATTTCATTGCTTACTATACCTTTTTATGACTCCATTACCTTGGTTCTTTGCTGGCCAACTCTGGATTTTTCAGAGTTTCTGAGCCAAGGACACCTAAGAGTTAAATTAAAAAAGAGAAAATTCCAGCGAAAGAGGTTAGGGCTTTCAAGGAAAGAACCGATTCAGTTTCCACTGTGTCAGCCTTTATTTCATTCCTCAGCACACATTTCCCGAGTGCCTTCTATGTGCCAGACACTGTGCTGGGTGCTGGAGATAAGCCATGAGCAAAGCTGATGGAAATCCTGCCCTCAAGAAATTCTCAGTCCACTGTAGGAGACAGGCGATAAATACACTGGGCAAAACAGCGGGCTTCCAACCTTGCAGCCTGTCCTCTGGTTGAACACGTGAATTGATCCACATTTACGAAATTGACTTGAAATGGTTTAAGGGCCTCCCCTCTCTTCAAGACACACAGTACTGAGCAGAGCATAAGCCCAGGTGCCTCTGCAGTCCACAGAACCCTGTAGTTATTGGGGACTCTCTTTTCTGGCAAATACTGTCTTAGAAAGACAGAACATGAGCAATCCCAGGGGGTTCTGGGTAAGCAAACTGGTAGCTGCTTCTTAAACCATTATTCTAAAGCACCTAAAATATTTATGTTTTTTCCCCTCATTGTAATGTTAATCACATGCTCATTGCAAATTTTTTTTTAAGTAAAGGAAAAGAGATAAGTATAATTATAACACAAATACATTTCAGGTCCCCACATGATTTATTCTCAGTGAACCACCCACCCAGAAGCCAGGGGTAGTTAATAGGCTATTGAATGTTGTGGGGCTCCCATCTCACAGGGCAGCCTGATATTTCTTGAAATCCTCTTCCCTCTCCTCTGCAATTTCCCCACCCTTTGCTGCTCAGAATGTCATGCTCCAAATTCCTGCTTTCTTGTTCTCCTCCCAAACACACCCAGACTGCTGCCTGCCAAGGTTTTCCTCTTTGCTTCCTCTGAACGTCTCAGATGTCCAGAAGTGACCGATGGGGACTTCCCTCCTTCCTCTCTGCCAGCTGTGCTGGGTTCCTCTGGAGGGGGGCACTGAGTTGTGGTGCCCCCCACTGCATGCAGCTGCCTCCCTGGACCTCTCGCCCTCGCCATCCTTCTGGGAGAAGTTATGGTGGGTCCTTTCTGATGAATAAAGCCCCCACCCCACTATGGAGGAAAGCAAGCACATGTCTGTTTGATGAGTCTGTCACTTATGAAGCTAGGGCTGGGTTTGGGCAAGTCTTTGCCTCTCCCAGTCAGTCTCCATTTCTTCACCTGGAAAATGGGTTAATACCCACCTCAGAAGGCTGCTAAGACATTACATGTCACAGTGTGTGTGTAAAGCACCCAGCAGAGGGCTTGGCATGTCGTGAGGCCTCAGTAAATGATAATAATAATTTACCATGTTTCATGTTGATAGGGTCATCAAAAACATCATCCTAATGCCACTGCCTCAATATAATGTTTATTAATAATTTGGTTGATATCCTTCCAGTCTTTTCCTCTAAACACATTTTAAAAAACAGGTTTAGAATCCTACTATATGTAGAGTACTCATCCTATTTAATACCTTTTGAAAATCTAATTCTAATGAAAATTTCTAAAGGAGCAGTATGGTTTTTGTGGGACTCTGAAAAATGTGTTAATTTTTTTAAAGTTAGGTAACAAGAAAGTTCAAAAACATGTACTACCATACCATCCAGATTTCAAAAGGGTTTTGCCTACATACTATTTTGTACATTCATTTTTCACTTAGCGTCATTCCATCCTGTCATAGTACTTTGCCACAGTGTTATTTTTAGTGATGTCAATTCTTTCATAAAGAATGTACTTCAAGTTACTACACTACTTCCATACAGTTGGATATTTAGTTATTATTTTTAGCCTTCTGCTTTTATAAGTGACACTGTAGTAAGCACTTATGCACACATTTTTGTGGCCTTTGATGTACATCGGCGACATCAAGCTTG